GATAGCCAATCAGATGCCAGGCTTCTCGACTTACCCGGAAGTAAACATCGCAACAAAAATTACCGCGAACTACCACAGAGGCCGAGTGTAAAACATTGATCAAAACGATTCTTTTTCTTTTAGTTTTTGAGCGGCTGGATTTAAAAACCACAGTTTTTCTGGTAGCGGTGTCTCTAACGATCTAAACATGGAGGAATATGACGATATTTTTGAGATTGAGGATCGGTTCGAGGAGCAGTTTGCTGACGAGCTGGAAGTGTTAGCTCAGATGGAGGGTGAGTGCATAAACTATATACCCAGTTTTTAGATGTGATGGCATATCTACTGATATGTTTTAGGACGACAACTTATGCACATTTCCCTCTCCCTTTGTTACATCTTGGGGGGAAAAAAACAGGCAACACATCTTGAAGAAATTTGACTTCCTAAAAATCTAACTTGGTAAACATATCCTCGGAATGTCAAACAGAATTCATACCATTCAGGAATAATATGGGTTCTGTGCCCTAGAATGAAGTTGTTCAGTGTGAAAAATGCATCCAACCCCCAGGACTGCAGCAAAAGATGTTAAGATGCTGTCTAACAAAACCAGATAATATTTTGCAAATCCAAATAGGCACAAAATATTTATGTTTTGGCGAGAAATAATGTCTCCTTTTGAAATGCATGGCCACAAATCCCTTAAAGCAAGAAGCACATGAATCCAATCTGTGAAACACGGCAGTGGCAGCATCATGCTGTGTTTTTCTGTCTGGAAGGTTTTCAAAACAGATGTTTGGGCTTTCTGACAAAAGACGATTGTGGCAAAAATATTGAGGCAGTATATCATGAATAGCTTGTAGAGGGAGACCCTAAAGATTTGACTCATTGTGTGAGAGACAAAGAGAAAAAACACTTATGTTTGAGAAGTTTTGTTCATGGTGACAGAGTTTGATAAAGTTGAGGAAATTTAAATGCAACATTCAGCGAGGAGTTGTGGACATGACAGGTGCTAATTTCTCCTTCTAGACGAAACCTCCCAGCCAGCGAAGCGTCTAAAGCAGACTTATGGAGACGACATTTCAGACATAGAACACCTCCTGGACACTCAGCCCAGCAGTGAGTTCAGCCTTGTAGATATGTATTATAATTGTTTTATTATTGATTGCATGTCATTGAAGCTTAAAACCTTTCAGCTCCAAAAGCAAAGCGGCATGATACAGGCGTGGTTAAGCGTCTTTTCAATGGATCCCAAGCTCAGGAGAAGAAAGTCCTGCCAGAGCGTGACGACATCACACCGCCATCATCTCCTGAGCAGTTTGAGGTGTCAAACACCTTCAGGTAGCAGAGTTAGAAAAGAAAAAAACACCTCAGTTTCTCCTTAAATATTCACAAGAAGATGAAAACTGCTGCTTGTCTAAAAAGGATTGATTTGTGTCGTAGATCTACTGCTGCCGCGCTGGATATAAGTGGCTTCGCAGAAATCCCGGAGACCCCCGGGCAACCCGTCACACTGACCCCGGCATCCACACGTGTGCTGAAGCGACCGCCTTTGGAGGGCGAGTTTATCAATGTGACTGATTCGTTGGGGAATCGGGTGTACCTCCGACAGAAGGAAGAGACGGGCATAAAGGTAATCCACACATCATTAACTCTACTTTGATATAAACTCAGTCTGTCCACAGCTTGTCCAGACTTGATCTGTGTGGTTCTTATTTTTTATTTTCTCTGTCCGGCTCTCAAGAATGTGGACTCAAGAATAGTACCGAACACTGAAGGAGAACTGGGACTGCTCACTTTGCCAATTAGAGTCCTGAGACAACAGGAAGCAGAGAGGGTGAGTGTTGAAATCTGTCTGGATAATGGATGAGGATCTGAACAGAAGATCTAGAGGTTAGGAAGTGATGTGTGACTTTGTTCATTAAGGAAGAGTTTCCAAACAAAGACTGGACTTTGATTTTTTTTTTTTTTTAAGTTTGGAAAATCCTTTCTCTCTCTATAGATAGATTATTCTCTAACACACTTCAGGATTTGTTTTTCTGTAATTATAAAATTTAAATCAAATGCACCTGGAGACGCTCCAACTTTAAGGTTTGTCTTGTGAATACAGAAAAAACAAGATGGTAAACATCTGTTTTCTTGTTTCTTTAATCCTTTAGCGCCACCAGCAGGTTATTGAGGAATCGCAGCGTCTCACTGAGCTGATTGGGTATGGAGCTCCTCACCATCTCTCATTAATGCACAGAGAGGTGACTGATCCTGTCCATAAATGTTTTTGCACGTGCAGCAGTGTGAACGATGCATTCGGCGAGTCTGAAAACGGAGAGGAGGAGGAGGAGAACGAGGATCCTGAGGACGCAGAGGGACGGACATCTCGGCTGTGGGTGGACAGATTTTCACCGCGTCACTACACGGAGCTCCTCAGTGATGACGTCAGGGATCCCTTTTAATCCTTTGTCTGGTGATAAACGCTGAATAATCTGGTTTCGGATCGGTTCACGTTCTGCTCTTGTCTTTCCTGTCAGTTCACTAACCGCTGTCTACTGAAGTGGTTGAAGCTGTGGGACACAGTGGTGTTTGGAAGAGAGAGGAAGTCCCGCCCCACACGCTCTGACAGACAGGCACCCAGTCACAACTCATTCAAACCCAATCAGGGAAATCAGAATCCAAACCGCTTCAAAAGCAAAGTGGAGATGACGGAGGAGCTACTGGAGGCTGAACTGGACCAGTACAAACGACCTAAATATAAGGTAGTGCAGCTGAGCCATCAGATGGTTTCCTTTAGGTGAACTCTTGTGACGCCAGATGTTTCCCTCCAGGTGGCGTTGTTGTCAGGACCTCCAGGCTTAGGGAAGACCACTTTGGCTCATGTCATAGCAAAGCATGCTGGGTACAATGTGGTGGAAATCAACGCCAGGTCAGACCTGCTGCGATCAAAGCTAACATTAAGAGAACCGAACCGAGACGTTTTTCCCACATCTGGGTGTTCTTTGTGTGCAGTGACGATCGCAGTGCAGAGGTCTTCCAGAAACGCATCGACACGGCTACTCAGATGAAATCAGTTTTAGGCGCCAACGAGAGGCCGAACTGCCTGATAATCGACGAGATCGATGGAGCACCAGCGGTATCTTCAGAAAGATGCCTCAACCATCAATGAGACACCATGAGACTCGGAGCAGTTTTTAATGTTTCCTATGTCTGCAGGCCGCCATCAACATACTGTTATCAGTGCTGAACAGGAAAGATGGACATGGTGGGGACGCCGGTGCAGAAACCGCAAAGAAGAAAAAGAAGAAAGAGTCCATATTGCTTCGCCCAATCATCTGCATCTGTAACGACCTGTAAGATGAACACAAATTATGCTTCTAGATTTGAAACATTTCATGCCGTACTAACACCCGTCCGCTGCTGTTCAGCACAGTGGTGGATGTGTGATCATAAGGACCCGGCTAGCCATTTGTCACTTAGCTGACTGTGGATTTGTCTTTATGCACACAGCAGAGCAAAACACAAGTCCAGCTTCCTGACAGCTGAAGTTTGGCTCAAAGCGGCAGAACGATCCAAATGATTGCCTTACTTGCAAAAAATTATTTTGCAAGTAAGGCTAAATCACTCCATCACAATAATTTTATTTTTAAAAAAAATACAAAGATTCTTAGTTTTTTTTTTTTTTTTTTACATATGATCTTCTGTTTTAATTTTTTTTTTTTTAAGTTTCCCTCAGAGACACACTAGCTTTTAATAATATTGATAAGTCTTTTTTGCATTTTCTACAGTTAAGGCTTTTTTAAAATATAGAACCAAATAAAGAACAGACTCCTTATATATTGTACCAATACATTACATTTCAGAGCTGATCCTTCCTCTCACCAGTTCATATGTTTAAGTTAAGTGTCCAAGCTACCTTTTTTCGTAACATGGATATAAACACTACTTTGTAAGAAACAAGGCAAAATCATCTGCAGGATCCACCTCTGGCTTAAAGCTGGGTGTTACTGCTTTATAGGAAACTAATGTTGCCTAGTCTGTGTTTGTTATTACCTATAGTTAGATTGGAAAAAATGTTAATTTAAGTTAAAAAAGCTAAGCTATAAGCTAAAATGAATATCCAGTTCCTGTATCACAGTTAATGTTCAGAGGGTTTTGTTGTAACAGAAAATGTGTTTCTTTTTCATTTGGTTTTCATGAATTTCTTACAGAAGCACTCTTTTGATTTTTTTTTGTTTGTTTGTTTTGTTTTGTTTATCTTTTTGTTTTTCCTTATTTGAACAAGTGACTGTTTTGGTAATTAGACTAAAAATACCTTTTTTTCAGTGTTAGAACAGTAATTAGGTTTTGTTCTGTCCACCAATAACAATCTTGACTTGAAATATTCATTGTCAAAGTGTTTGACTAAGTACCCAGTGGACAGCTAAGCTTCATCTCCTTCAAGTTTACGTTTTTCTTTCTTTCTCAGTTACGTTCCTGCTCTCAGACCTCTCAGACAGCAGGCTTTTCTTCTGTCTTTCCCACAAACCCAACCTTCCCGCCTCACTCAAAGATTAGCAGAGGTCAGTATTTCATTACTGAAACACTCAAATAAGGACACAAGTCAGAGATCAAGCTGACATATTCTCACGCTGCATCTGTCTTTTCTTAGATCTCCACACGGCAGGGCCTAAAAGCAGACGCCGGGGCTCTGATGTCCTTGTGTGAGAAGACAGATAATGACATTCGTTCCTGCATCAACACTCTACAGGTGTGTGGTTTTCCTCTAGGGAATCCTCCGTCTTTGTATATTAGACCATATTTATTTAGTGAGGGTGCATGCTCTTGCCTGGGCAGTTCCTCCATGGTCGTGGCTTGAAGCAGCTGGACTCCAGAACCATCCAGAGCGTCTCTGTCGGGCAGAAGGACCAAAATAAAGGCTTGTTCTATCTGTGGCAGGAGATCTTTCAGTTACCACGGATAAAACGGTAAACTTTCTGTGCCCCAACGCCTGAGATCTTCCTGTTAAGTTTTGAATTGAATATGTATTTATTATATACTGACATACATATATTTGTGTGAATGTACAGGTTCCTGTTTAGCGCATTTTAGCATAACAACTGGCTACACTGAAAGATGTTTAAAATGAAGGCTAACATGCTTAACTTTATTTTACTTTAATGATTGTCACAGCTGCAGAAGCTGTATTTTAAACATTTAACTCCTTTTTTGCTCAAAAACATGAAAAAAAAACAGTTTAAGGACCTAGATTAGACTCAACAGGTCAGTCTGAGTTATTAATGGGAAATATGAACATTACCTCACAATATGGAGAAAGAGGAAAAACAAAAGAGGACATGGGCACAGAAGAGGGGATAAAAAATAAATAATTTTGCTGTAGATCCCATTAAACTCTCATTAACAAGTCCTGGGGAGAACCCAGCTCAGCCGCAGCTGCTTGTCTCCTACTTTTTAACATAACGCCCTGCCGTTTGAGTAAAGCTGGTTTGTGTTGGTCAGAAAACGTATCGGCGAAGGCTTTGAAGAAGCACCTGGTTCAGGAAGTGGGTTTCAGAGGTTCCAGCACATTTTGCACCTTGCTTCATCAAGCGGAGAATACGAAAAGGTATCTCAGGTAATAAATGATCCATCTTCACCACAGCCTTGTTCCTCCAGTTTTCTGCACAGCAGACACCTAAAGCAGCTGCCGTCTTTTCCTCAGGGCCTCTATGATAACTACTTGTCCATGCGAGTGAGGGACCCCAACATGCAGAGCGTGTGCGAGGCTTTGGATTGGCTGACGTTCTCCGACAGGCTGAACCAAGTGATTCTGCATGGACAGAACTTCTCCCTGATGAGATACCTGCCCTTCCTCTCCGTGACATTTCACTTCCTGTTCGCCAACATGCATGTGCCCCGCATCAGCTATCCTCACAGCCACCACGAGGTACCGGGTGTAAAATGAACAAGGAGCCAAATTGTTATCTGGGATATTTTGAAAGGGGACCTCTGAAAAGCTCATGTTAATGTCCTTTGCAGGCTGCGTCTCGTCTACTAAGCAGCAGGAACGCTTTGTCCACCATGTTGGCCGACATCCCAGCAAGCATCCGATCCAGAATCGGCCCGCTAAGCCTCACTCTTGATATTCTCACATTGCTTCTTGACATCATCTGTCCAAAACTGCGACCTGTAAGTTTAAAGCATTTGTCGTCATTCTGTTTTAAATAGAACATGTTTTTTTTTTTTTTAATACTAGGACATTGATCCAGTATTAACTTTCTCAGAAGTTTTTGCTTCACTTTTAATTTCACTAACCCTGTATTATCTGTTTTTTTAACCCCGTGTAAACCTTGAGTTTTGATGAAGTGTAATATATCACTACAAGTGTAAAGATATATTACTTCAATTTCATCTCACAGAAAAAACAACCACTGCTTATGAAATGATAAACATATCAAATCTCAACTATAAACTAAACTTTAAGGCATTGACAGTGGATGGTTTTTAGACCTTTAAAGAGGTAGATCAGATTGGTGGAAAGGATCGGTTTCACAGTGAAGCATTGGCCAAACCAAGGCCGATCCATCACCTGGCCGGTAAATCAGAGTCCCCCTAATTTAAGGTATGAACTCAAGAGGAAATGGTGAATCAAATGGAGTTTCAACCTTTAGGATAATTTTTTTTATCCTTTTATTTACCATTAATTGTTCCTTGCTTAAATAGGAGCTTTTTTTTTTTTTTTTCATTTTCACCCAGTTAACATAAATCTTGTGTACGGTAATCTGCGTGCTTTCCATCTCCACTGCTCTGGAGAGACGTTTATTTAAAAAGGCATTACTTAGTTTTCTAATCATACTGCAACCTTTGGCCAAAACCCAGAACTACAGAACTTTTCTGCTGTTCTCATCAGAATCAGAAATACTTCAATAATCCCAGAGGGAAATTACTTTTGTTACACACTCCAGTTACAGTTTTACATGATATATACACACATCCAACTATACAATATAATAAAGATAAAAAAATATAAGAATAAAAAGAGATAAAGTATATACACATATAGCTCTTTTGTATATATATCTGTTCGTATATCTTTGCATATGTAAAAACTAAATCCAAATAAAGTGAAAATCCAAGTGAAGTGATAAATCCAAGTAAAGTAATACGTGGCATGCAAAAATAGTGCATGCGCTCATATTTAAATTAAATAAGTTTTTCTTTAGTTATTTCACCTGACAAGCAGTTCCCTTTAGTGTCTGAGTTGTTTCTGAGTATCCATAAAATCCCTCTTGAATATAACGCTTCGATTGTTTGCTAGATTGGACCCATTTAACATGAACGCGCTTAACGTTGCATCCACATAAAGTAGAGTAAAGCGTTGAACTACTGAAGTGTCAGTCTGCTCATCAAACAATGCTTTAGCTCTAAAAGGTCCAATAAAAAGGTATGCTTTTTTATATATATAGTTCAGTAAAAACTCACAGAATGTCTTTTTAAATCAGGGTAATGATGCTTGGGTAAGTTGCGAAAGAAACCTTTAATACATCTCCTGTCCAGCAGGTGGGGGTAGTAAGAAACTAAAGACCAAACTAGCAGGACCTATTCACAAAGCATCATACAGAAAGCACAAGTGGCGTATGTCCTTCTACTTTGGTCCTTTTTCCAAGTTTGCTTAAATATGAAGCCCTATATAACAGGGAAGGTGAGAAACAAATATCCTTAATATGGTGCAGAAGTGAGAAAACTGAAAAAGAAACAAAAAAATAAATAAAAAATGGTCCATCGGTCATGGCTTCTCAGCGCATTAAGTGAAGGTCCTACCAAACCTTTGACCCAGGAAATTAAAATTGCATGAGTAGAATTAAAATGAAATGTTTGAACTATTTCTGTTACTTTCAGTTAAATCATGCAGACAACCATTTTATCACATTAAAACCCTTTGATTTGTTTTAATACTCCAAACCACTGACATTGTTTTACACATTTCTACACTTTACACCGGATGATGGTGCCGCCTTGGTTTCTTCCAGGTGAATCCGCAGCTGTTTAGCAGCAGAGAGAAGGAACAGATGCGCGAGCTGATTGACACCATGTTGGCCTACAACCTCTCGTACAGGCAGGACCGCACACCTGAGGGCCAGTACACCTACGTGTTGGAGCCGTGAGTACGCCTACATAACCGCGGGGGCGGCGGCTCAGCGAGCAGATGTTTGCTTGTGGGGTGTTGAAGGTCACTGCTGTTGGCCATACGGTGGTGTCTCTGGATAACAGCTTAGAGAATAATCCCCTTATTACCTGGTGTGTTTGTGTGTTGGTGTCAGAGCAAAGGTAGCGGAGCCTCACTGTTGGGCTACAGTGATATTGACAGCCCAAAATGGAGGAGTTCAACATTTATCGAGCAGAAATGTGTTGGAACAGTTTTTTCTCTGGACTTTGTGTTCATTTTTAGGACCTTTTTTTATTTTTTAAATATTTTATTGATTCCTAAACCCATCAGAGACTAGGTGTTTAACCTGGGATCCCTCGGGGATGCCGGCCCCAGCTGAGGAGCAGCCCGGCGCTCAGGACGGCTCCTTCCTGCAGGCGCGCTGTGACGAGGTGCTGGTCACCAATGACTGGTGCCTGCCGCTGGTTTTAGCTCTGCTGCTGCTGCTCCTGGTCTACACCTTCCTGTACCTGCCCTCGCTGGCGCACCATAACGCCACCCTCTGAGTGATTGATTGGAAAAGATGGAGGAGATCCGTTTGGAACGAGGGCTTAGTGATGTAGGCAGCCGGAATGTGTGGAAGACATGGGATGGATGATCAGACTGCTCTTAAGGAGTCGCAGTTGTGGGACTAATTCCAGACGCTGTAAGCAGCAAACAGCTTTTAAACCCTTTTTAGCATGAAGACACTGCAGCCACTTTTTTTTTCTTCATCTCTGCCTGTTTATAGATTAAGATAATGGACAATTGTGTCCCAGAAAGAAAATTAGGGATGCAGGATTTATCAGGGTTAATGATGTTTGAGGAGGTCCTTGTTTGGTCATGTGACGGCGATGCAGAGCAGGATTGTGTTGTTTAACTGAAGCAGGGAAGCAATTTCAGCTGTATGAGTTGAAAGGGTATTGAATTATGTGGTAAATATTCATTATCAACGATATTAATATTTTGTATACACACTACATTTTCAAATAGTTGCATCCATGAATAAAATGTAAATAATGTCTTTAGTGTCAGGCTTCCTAACAGGTCTGGAACATTTTTGATTTTGCTTTGATCATTTTCTAGATCTGATTGAGTACAGAAAAAAAAAAAAGACTGATTATTGATCAGGATGGATTTATGTTTAAACATGTAGTGGATGATCTTCTTTTAGCTTTGGTTTATTTATTGGTTGTCCCACCCGCCATCTTTGAGACATGCTCTCCTACAGGACTTTAGAAAATGTTATGCTCTTTTAAGATTAAAAAGAGAGAGAGGGAGCAACTAGCACGCAGATCTATGCGTTTCAGTTGGAGCAAGTGTCACTACCTGATCCGTACTTGCGCATACATTCGGGTCTCCCGCGATTTTACTTCATAAAAGAGACCAAAGCTATTTTTTTTTCTCTCGCCAAAAATAATAAGCGTAGTAAACTAGACTGTAAAATCCTTGTTGTTTTATCACTCGTCTGTGCTCAATCCTTCCTGGAAATGGGATCGTTTGCTACTTCATGGAGCTAGCTTATTTGGCTTTGTATTTATACATGACTGGAGTATTTCCAAGTTTTATTTTCTACATCAATCGACGCACACCTGGGTGTTATTATGATTTGCAGGCGTGTTGAGGAGGTGGCCAGGTTTCCGGGCTTACCACCGCATCGGCAGCTCACGTATCAGGCCAGACAGACCATCAGCAGAGAGATGGAGCAGGAAAAGATGAGGAGAGCAGAGCATATAATGATGCAGAGGAACCCTTCAAAGGTGAAAGGCCAAAGCACTGTTTAAATGAAAACAGAACTGGAGCTGAATGAAATAGTATTTATGTTGGAATGTGCGTGTTTTTCTTTTGTTGTTTTTTTTGTACAGAAAGAGGAAGAGAAAAAGAGTGCTGGCCCAAAACCGACCAGGAACCATCAGCAGAGGTTGGAGAACATCGTGAAACAAACCACAGTGGAGGCGAGGGTGAGGGAGCACAGAAGCACTTCAGGAATTCTTTGGTGGAAATGATTGCTTCATTTATAGACAGCTGGAAGTTTAGCTGGCTCAAGTTACAAAAGCAAACAAAGATTGTTCTGATTGTTATCATGATCTTTGGACAGAAGGAGCCTTTTCTCCGGATTAGTTCTGTTTCCATTATACTTGATCAGATAACAAGCTACTCGTATCCCCCCAAAACAGAACATTTTAATTAGTGATGAGTTTTTTTTTTATTACTTTTGTTAATGAGAGCATCAAGGAATATGAATAGATTTAATGCTAGATTTTTATGTACCTGCGGCCCTGTAGAAGCTCCTTAGCTTATTGTATGTGTTTTAATTAATTTCATTAAACAAAGTGCTATAAATGTTGAAACAGAGCGGATCCATGCTAATTAGCTTCAGCCAGGTGTTGATTGATGAAACCAACCCTATATTTTAATGGTTCTGCAATGACAGAGTTGAGCCTCTAGGGGGCAGAATGAGTATAAAAAGAAGCCCCTGGGATTACAATCTCTGATGGTGAAAGTAGGCTAATAAAAAAGGTGATGTGTGCAAATGTTCTGCTTCCAACCTGTTTTACTTTTTCTAAACTTAAGTTTAACTCTTTCCTCTTCTTCTGTTTGTGTTTTGCAGCCGGAGGTGGATTTCTTCGGTCGAATTGTCACCCCCAAACCTCAGAGACCACAGCCGTCCTCAGACTCAGGTACTGTAGACAGTGAGTGCAAATTCACGTCACTGTGGCTTCATTTATTCTAGCCCTGAGGGGCCGTTGGTGTGAAAACGCCCTGTGACAAGTCAGGCCCACAGAAACCAGAGCTGATAAAGGATGTGTGTAATTTGGTCCTCATGTAGCAGGCTGAAAACTCACCAAAGGAATTAGATCAAAATACATTTCTGTATCACAGAGGACCACATAGCCATTTTCTAAATTTGCATGTAAAAAAAACAACACTTTATGTAATAAAATGGATTACAATGTAGTTTCTTTTGCATTGTCAGAATAGTGGCATAATCCAGGTGGAAAATATTATTGAGAATTATCATAGGTGTTTAACAGCTGCGTCGAACACATTTATATGCTGAAAAGTTCAGTTCAAGCTATATGGGTGACTTTTCTCTGTAGTTATGCAACCACCCAGAGTTATTTTTGTGAATGGTGCATACACAAGGCCCAGATTCTGAGGGCTAAGGCAATTAAAAGTGTACCCATTAAAGCTGCTAACCTCCCTGAAAGCGATCGATCAGCAGGGTAATTAGGGTGCGGAAGCAAAGCTGGAGCCGTTTGTAGGTCAAAGCAGGAACAACGGACGGATTCTCTGAACCAAAACAGGCGCTGCTCCAAATCCGGAGTGTCCCGCTGCCCTTGCTGATTACTGAAAGCTCAGTTTTAGTACATTTTATATGCTGGTGACCTCCAAGGACATGGAGTTAACCTCGCTTCCTGCTGTGTAATTATCATTCATTCAATACTAAGGCTTCACCCTGTTTTTTTAAATTCTGCTGTTGTTGTGGGTTGGATTGCAAGAGGCAGCCTTTTTTCATCGGGGAAAAAAGGAGAAAAAGCACTTAGGACACAAAAAGTTGGGCAAATTGTATCCAAAAGAGAAATGCTGGATTCAGTGGCGGCTGGTGCAGTTGACTCCGGGGGGGCTATAAATTCAAAATAGACCAGTCAAACATATACTAAGTACACCAGTTAATTTATATGAATGCCAAAAAAAAAAACATTATAAAAACAAAACCTAATTTCATGTACAGGTTTAATTTTTGTACAGAAATCTTGCCCTTCTGAGGCTTTGTGAAGGCAAATCTGTGTTTTGCATCGTCCAATATGGCATCACAAACCTAAAAAAAATAATCAACCAGTTTAATTATAAAGAAGCTATTAGTCAACTTTATATTTTTTTTATACATATAAAAACTATTTTCTGAGAATGTGTTTATTTAAGAGCCACTATGCACATTAACAAACATCTAGAAAAAGAAAAAACACGATATTATATTATTTTCCATGTGGATCCCAGATTTTTCATGCTTCTTTGCCTTTTCTAAAATGCTTTAAATCAGTCCTGAGACACCTATTCGTATTCCTCTTGGACAAGATTGTTCAGCCCTACTTTGTACTAGGGGTGTCCCAATACAACTTAATTGGCGATACAGTACTGATATTCAAGCTTTCGCTATTGACCGAGAGGGATATTGACCCAGTATGATATTAACACAAATCATACATGCTTTTACTACCTATTATGTATTGGGCATATGAGAAAATGCATTAGCAGCTTATATTGCTCAAGCAGAGAACAATAGTCAACTAAAATAGGTAAGAGAAAAACCGAACCGTTTGTTATTAACCAATGGGATACATAAACTTTAAACAGAAGTAGAGCATTTCTATTGGCCTGCTAATACCAGAGATTTAAAATGAAAGACACTCAGATATTTAGTTGTTCTTTTTGGGGGGGGGGCTGATATCAAATCTATATCAGATCAGGATAACCATTAGGACTGCAACTAACAATTATTTTGATTATCGATTATCTGTTAATTATTTCTTTGATTTATTGATTAATATTCAGATAGCCAAAGGTTCCTTTAAGAACACTTTTTACTGAATTAAACCAGGTGAAACTAAAACTGTTCCAATTAAGGAGTTCTGGATAGAGCATTTTCACAGACAATTTTTTTTTTTTCCATTTTTTTACTGAAATGCAAAATGTTTAGATATTAATTTTTTTTACAGTCTTGGCATAATTACTCCTTTAAGTGGGTTGCTCTGTCAGCTAAAGGCCTGTTTTACAGTCTCTATACTCCAATTAACGATTAATCGATTACAAAATGAGTTGACGATTATTTCAATAATCGATTAATCCGATTAATTGTTTCAGGCCTAATATCCATACTTTGTTGGGAGGAAGAAGTTTATCCAACTTTCTGAACTCATAAACTGTTTTAATGGGTTTTTCTTTCTGGACTTGCTCTCTAAAACCTTCACAATGTTAACTAATTGAGAGAAAATGTTATTTTAATGTTTAAACAAATAAAATGCACACTCTTTTATTCATTGCAAGCTTTTGGTGCCCCACCATATTAGTTTATGGTCATCTAGTGCCTCTGTTGAAATGACTTGACGAACTGATCATCAGGAAGTTAAACCACCGGTATTACAGCAGGAGTTCTGGCTGTTGTTGAAACATGCTGAGGTGGAAAGCAATCAGCTGTGAGCTTAAAAAGGGGAAACTTGCTGCTCTGCAGGGTTATATGAAGCCATTTCAAAAACGATTTAAATACTCTATTCAGAAGTCGATGTCAAAAAATATTCTCTTCCAGGTCTGTCCAGCTTCAAGGTTTACTTTTAGTTGGAATATTAACAAAGTTAGCAAGAAACCAGCTGATTAAGAAGGATTTTTTTTATCCCTTTATTTTCACTCTCTGTGTTAAACCCATCCCCTTGGGGAGCAGTGGGCGGCCATTGTGTGGCACCCGGGGAGCAGTGTGAGCTGAAGGGTTTAGCTCAGGATCCCAGAGTGGAGGCTGTGGGGATCGAACCGGGTACTCGCAGCCTTCTCAGAGCACAAGCGCACTGCTCTAACCATTCGGCCAACACCCCCCATGAAATCCAAATGAATAAAAAGACTTAAAATAAAAAGCCAGATGAATCTTGACTCTAACAAAGGCACCAGATACAGCAACAAATTGAGAACAGAAAGGCTGAAAAATAATATAAAAGTTGTTGTGGCCTAGTCAAAGTCCAGACCTCAGCCTGATTGAAACACATCTCCAATCCTCACGAGGGGCAGAAAATGACTGAGGCTGATAAGCACTGACGGTGAAGCTACAGTTCTCTGCGTCATGAGCTGTACTTGGATTCTAAAAAAAAAAAAAAAAAAATGGAGGTTTCTGGGTGCTCATATAAAGGTAGAGCGCATGACCCATATACCCACGGTCACAGGTTCAAGTTCCGGTCCTGCTGACCTTTGCCGAATTTCTCTCCCCTATTGAAGCCCACTTTCCTGTCTACCTACTTTAAAACTAATAAAGTAAAGGCCACAAGAGCCTAAAGATAATCTTTTAAGAAAAGGGCTTAATCAATCTTGTTTTCCTTATCTTAAGCAGCAGATGAGCAACAAGGAATCCATATTTTGTATACAACAGTGTACTGTTGAGGTTTCTTTTAAAAGCTGAAATATTTGTGGTTTGGTCCTGATAGGCATGATTGTAATTTTTTTAGAGGCACATTCTTCTTATCAAGTATTTTTTCTGGTTAAATGAAAGGCTGCAGAGTGTGTCACTAATATAGTAATTACAGTATTGATGCGTGTTAAATCTGCATCCCAAAGGACTGTTATAGTGTGATAACTGTCAGCTAATTCATCCCAAGTGTTTTGACCTTACATTTTCCATGCTGAAGTTAAACCTGGCAGGTTTGGACTGAGCCTCAGGTTAGCAGATACTCACAGTGAACACAAATGACATTCCCTAAATGGCTAAGCTCATTGAGTGAATGAAATGCGGATGAGAATGTGAGGAAAGAAGGTTATGGCTAAAATTGAGACCAATATGGCAGTCTCAATTAAGTCAAATACTTCGTCCTTTTCAAACAGCTTTACTATGGAGACCATAGCAGATGTCAAAATGATCTGTTTCCTCTCCCCGCAGGTGAGAAGTGTGCGGTTCTCTCCATGGGGACGGCTGTAGGCAACAGCGATGTGTGGTTCCGCTTCAACGAGGGCATGTCCAATGCGGTCAGACGCAACGTTTACATCCGAGAGCTCCTATAAACACCACTGGACCGACATCAATACGTTCTGTTAATTCAAAACAGTCTTTATTTGGATCGACAGTGCAAAGAGCCAATAAAAAGGACATTGCTGAACCCAGGGGAAGATGCTCAGTGTTGCACACTCATTCCAACACGCACATCAAGCAATAACATCCAGGAATCTCCACATAAATAAACATAAATAAAAGTATCAATGTGTGTAGGAGGGGGGAGAACCAGTGCAGCCAGGCTGAGGGGGATTGCATGTTTGTTTGTTTTTAAGATTATATGCATTTGTGATTGTGTGCGTGACCATTAGAGGATCACACACTTGCCCTTTTCCACCCAAGGGTTGGCTCGCATCAGTTCAGGGTTCAGAAACGGATCTTCACAAACACAGCCTTCGATCCACTTCACCAGCCTGCAGAAACAGAACCATGGACAGCGTGAGCATGTTGACCAAGGTAGAGAGGGAGATGGACGGCTGACGCTCCACTCACTCCGTTACGGTGATGGAGGATTTCTCTCTGTTGATCGCCAGCTGATACTGAAGGCTTTCCACTTCTCTCTTCATCTGTGGGACGTCTAACTCCGCCATGATGCCGCCGATGTGGTTCACCCAAGCAACTAAACAGATATTCAAAAACATAGACTGCCTCACAGATATTCAAACCACTTTAATTTTTCATCACATCACAAACAGACTATTTGTGGCACAGATGGCTTGAATTTAGAGTCATGTATCAAAATCCAAAATTTTATTCGTGAAAAGTGTGGCATGCTTAGGACAGGTGGAGACGAACTCTGGAGACGAGTGTCTGTGAGGAACGATTTTCAATGTTGACAAAGTTTCTGTTGGATTTAGGTCAGGACCTTGACTGGGCCATCTAACATCTAACATGGATGTGCTTTAATCCAAACTATTCTATATACTGCTCTCTGTTAAGGGTGCCTTCCTAAAAAGCTATTTTGGCCCAGCTTCAAATCTAACCTTGGCTTTAGTAGTTTTGTTTGTTTTTATCTCCTGAATCTACTGGTTTTTTTTTTTTTGTTCCACCCTCCAACCCTGATCTACTTCATCGTTGCTACATAAAAAAAAAGCATCCTCAAAGCACGTCTTGTTATCCCATCAACAAATTCTTCAACTTTGGCTGTGAGGTTCCTGTGTATCAGTCTATGTAACCCTCCATGTTTTAGCAGGTTTGCATTTGGTCCTAAAATCTTACTTTTTTTGTCCAAAAACAAGTACTTTAGCAGATTCTTTTGGATTTCATAAGGTGCTTTAGGTTGCAAAATTCAATGGAAAACACTCTGGTGATCTATGTCCAGAAAATCCCAATGAAACGATGTTTGTGTTTGTAACAAGGCAATATGTTAATAAAAAAGCTTGAACTACAGCTGCTGCTTCGCTGAACCGACTCAGTAGCTGGCAGGACTAATTAGTTGAACTCATAAGAAGCTATGCTTATAATGCATACTTGTTGGGATTTTTTCAAGTGTTTTCACACAAAATGATTCGTTGCAGGAGTTGTTTCATAAATAAAGTTTCAACCTGTGTTTCTACATATAAGATTGCAGACACCAATAAAAAGAGCAACAGGGTTTGGCTTTAAATTAGTTCCCGTTTTTTCGTTATCTTTAGGACATGTAACATCCTCCAGTCAATCATCTACTGCATGACTGGTTTTAATCGCAGCGCTTTTAAAGGATCGTCTTACTGGAGCTATAGTCCATAAGCATGGGAGATTCAGTCTTTTCATTTTATCTGGTCATTCCTTCTGATTGGAGGTGAAGTTACTGGTTTGGATTGAGTGACTGATCTACAGTCCTGGTCAGAATTTGTATATAGAAAGCTAAAGATCAGGGTGATGGGAAGAACTAGACTATACTGAAGAGGATTTATACGCGTTATCTGACGTTAATAGTATTTGTTTTAATAGTTGGCAGCACAATTGTTGCAACACTAATAGGTCATAAGACCTTAATTCTGAGGGAAGTTTTGAATTAATCTTTGATCAGTAAGTTAAATTCCTCTGCAGATGTATTGATTCAGGAAATCACTTACATTTTGGGATAAAACATCAAGGTCTGTCAGATCAAACTTAAAATTCAAGCAACAAAGTAACTAGTAAAGAAAGGTAGGGGATCTGTGGTGCTGTGGGCCAACTTCTCTTCCAAAGGCATCACCTGTATTGCATCATAAACTAAAGTATTAAATAAGAAGATAGTGGGTCAGTCAGTGGTTCACATCTCAGTCTCCAGAAATAAATTCTTAAAAACCTCTGGAGGGAGCCGAAGATGAGAGCAAAGGAGATTTTTTTTTTTTAACAAATTCTCTCGCCAAAAGTTTACACTTTTATGCCCCCACAACAATACAAACTTATGCTAAACCACCTGTATTGAAGGAGGAGTTCTGGCAGTTGCTGACATCTGTTGAGGTGGAAAGAAATCAGCTGTGAGCTTAAAGAGGAGACTGTTGCTGCTCTGCAGGATTATAAGAAGCCATTTCCAAAACGTGATCTGAAGGCTCTTTAAGTCCCTTTAGAATATGCATATTTTTATTAAGGGGGTATTTAGAGAACATTTTTAGACCGGATTGTTCTGAGGCATAAAAAAAACTGGTATTAAAAAAAACATTTTTACCAAATCAGTTGCTGAAATCTATGCTACATTCTCTCTGTTACTGTATGGGCTATAACAGTAGAGCCATAGTTCAGTTAATGCTCAGCCTATAAAATATTCATCCAGCAGCCTCAGCACTAAAACCCCTGTTAGATACATGCAGCTGTGTCCATCCTTTATATTATATATAAGCTTTATTTTGAATAACTTCCACATTCCTACAGAACATATTTAAGTGATGATAAACAGGACTTTACAGGAAACAATGGGTCGCCTCAGCCTTTATGTTTTTAAATTTTTCATCTCTTTAATGGATCTATGTAGGTCAGATACTGATTTCTCCATCAGCATCTGCTCTATAGGAAGGCCTCCATCATTCCATTAAAGCCTCTCTACTCCAGAAAGCAGACATGTTAGTCTATAAATGGATGTTTGCAGCTCTGTGGCTGTAGGAGGAGGCCTGGGATAAAGCACAGCATCACAGGCTGATGTATCGCGATAATAATGGATGCAAACGGAGCTTCTCTGCCTGGCTTACCTGTTCAGGAGGATGGAGGATGTTGGAGGGGCTTTAACAGCGTCGGTGTCCGCTCCGTGTGGCTTTACTCCGGCTACAGCGAGGGAAGAGGAGGAAGTGTGGATGGGTCGGCACTCCCCTGCGCTCCTCAGGCTGTGACTGGATGCTGGATGCGCAGAGAGAGAGAGAGAGAGAGAGAGACCGGCCGCCTGGTTTGACTGTCAAACGAGGCTCAGGACACCTGTATGCAAATCCCTGCTGCATGAAGCAGGCAAATCAGGGCGAGATGTGGAGGCAAGGCAGCCAGGGATGTTTTCCTCCTCTAATGAGGCCGATAATACAGGACAGGCTCCCAGAGACCAAGATCATGAGAAGTAAAGGCGATGGGTGGGGGGAGTTTCTGTTGTGTCCAAAGGGGGGCCCGGGTTCCCTCCATGGGGCTTGTTGGTAAAATGTACCAGGCTGGGACCGGTGTTGTAGGCAGGGGCGGATTTACCATTAGGCAGTTGCCTGGGGCCCCAAGTTCCCGGGGGCCCCATAAAACTCATGTTACATCCATCCATTTTCTTTACACGCTTAATCCAAAGTGGGGTCGCGAGGGGTGCTGGTGCCTATCTCCAGTAATCAATGGGCGAGAGGCGGGGTACACCCTGGACAGTTCGCCAGTCCATGGCAGGGCAACACAGAGACAAACAGGACACACAACCATTCACTCACTCACTCACACCTAAGGAGAATTTAGAGAAGCCAATGAACCTAACAGTCGTGTTTTTGGACTGTGGGAGGAAGCCGGAGTACCCGGAGAGAACCCCTACATGCTCAGGGAGAACATGCAAACTCCATGCAGAAAGGCCCCTTGCCGGGAATCAAACCCAGAACCTTCTTGCTGCAGTGCTACCCACTGCGCCACTGAGCAGCCCAACTCGTGTTACATGTATGGTTAATACAAATATTACTTATTTGTGCAGATTAATTTTTTTTGGATAAAAATCCTTCCGTTAAAACGCCATCAGAACGCTTATAATATTTTAAGTGTTTCTCAGCCCCCCTTGTTTAGTGTCCACCATATTGGATCAGTCTGTTTGCTGCACATGTTCAGAAAGGTCCAAACAGACAGCAGCAATCATTTGAAAACAAATGATGCAAAGAGCAGTGTTGCCAAATTAGCGCTTTTGTCGCTATATTTAGCCTCTTTAGACCCCTCTAGCGCTTTGATTTTTAAAAAAGTACCTAGAGCCAAATCTAGTGACTTTTTTTCTGCTAGTTGAGACTTTGGCGACAACCAGAGGCGTAGCAAGACATTTTTTATAAGGGTGGCCAGGCAATAAGCAATGTACACTGAGGTGTGGCCGAAAGTAGATAGGAACCAGATCCTCACGGTGAATCTACACTGTTCCAACAGGAAAATTATCGAGCATCCATCCATTTTTTCTAAATAAAGACTAACTATATACTTTCCCTACAGCCTTCACTAACAAATAGACACATATATTTAAACATCCGTAATCTCTAGATAAAATGGATAGTGGTTAAAACTCAGTTTTGAGTTCTGGGACATAAATTAAGCATGACTTACCTACTTGTATGAATAAACATTCTGCATAAAATTGATATTTACAAGCACTAATATCTACATAAATTGATTATTTGATCATTTTTTATTTAAATAGTTATTTATCTTTGATTTGACTGAACTCATATTTTTCTCGTTACCCCACATAACACAAAATCTAGTTATGAAAAGAGCATGAATTCTGTACTTATCATCTTTGATGTTAGTATATTGATGTGTATAATTAACCACAAAAAATTAAAATGTTTTGAATATTCCACTTGAGAGTATTACTGTTGCCACCATCTGTATTAGAGGGGGAAAAAATGGTGGGGTGGCCACAAGGGTGGCCAATGATTAGCTAAGGGTGGCCATGGCCTCCTGCTGTCCTCTATCTTGTCTGCTGTCATGATTCATGTAGCTATTGTTTCATGCAAATGAAAAATGGAAAACAGATAAGCAGACCATGGCTTGAAGGACTGGGTTGTTTACCTTTTTAGAAACACAGGAATGAGCAATCAGCTATGTGAGCTTAGTGCTTGGGAAAAATCTTTCATTCCTTTTGAGACAGCATGAAAAGGCAGCAGTACGGTGGCCCTGAGGTGCAAAACACATTTTTCCATGTGTGTTTTGCACCTCAGGGCCACCGTAGAGCAGAGTACAAAACATAGAGAGGAAAACAAGAAAAGAGACAAGAAGAGAGGGACAAAACATAGAACAAATAATGGATGTCTATTCTATTAACATTTCTCTATCTGTATAATGGGTCTGTTTTATGTGTTGTCTTCTCAATTCAGAGGGCCCCCTGCCTGTCTTTGCCTAAGTCCGCCCCTGGTTGTAGGCACATAATTTGTCATATGAAATGAGGGAACCAAAGGGTTGTTTACTGCCTGGAAACCTCACATCAAGCAGATGAAAAGCTGTGATCATATCTCAATATTCCTGAAGTTAAAGGCAGCAGGTGAATTTTTACATCACTGTCCAAATAGGTCTGTAAAGGTCAGGGGTGGAGCTAGATGGGGGGCCAGGGGTTGCCATGGCCACTCATAGCCAATCTGTGGCCACTCTACCATTTATTTCCCTCTGGTGGCAACAGTAATACTCTCAAGTGGAATATTCAAAACATTTTAATTTTTCATATATTAACAATTACTTAACAGCAAAACAATGTGGTTAATTATGCACATCAATATAGTAACATTAAACATGATAAGTACAGAATTCAAGCAGAAATAGATTTTGTGTGTCATGGGGTAAAGAGAAAATGTGTCTCTGCAAGTCATCTAGGAGTCTTCAGGGAAATCATAGATAACTGTTTTAATAAAAACATATTGAATAATCAATTTATATAGATATTGTAAATATCAACTTTATGCAGTTATTGATAAAAGTAGGTAAGTAATGACAATGGAAAAGATGTTCGCCCCACAACTCAAACCTGATAGAATTTTATCCACTATACCTTTTACTTAGAAAGCACAGATGTTTAAATATATCTGTCTATTTGTTGGCAAAGTCTGTAGGAAAGTATAGTTTGTCTTTATTTAGAAAATATGGATGTTTTGCTTGTTAATTTTCCTGTTTGAAGAATGTAGATTGAAAGTGAGGTTCAGGTGCCTATCTACTTTGGTCACCCCTCAGTGTACATTGGTTAATGCCTGGCCACCTGTATAAACATTTTCTGGCTACGGCTCTGGTAAAGGTTTAAAAAAAAACCAGATAAAAATCATGTGATTTTTGTGTCAGTCTTTAATTTCCAATAATATAATCAATTTAGTATTCTATCTTAAATGCAGGGGCCTTAACAGGGTGGACTGGCCCCTGTAGAACAGGTCCTGATTGGGCAGATAATTTCAGCTAAATTGTGAATTTCTCTCAGCAGAAACGTATAACCCAAGGTCATATGCGTCACTCTCTTGCTTTCAACATTCTCACATCCCTTTTTCTCATCTTGCTTCCATTGAAGACCCTCTGACTATTAAAACTCACCTTTTTCAGAAATCATACTCTAACTGCTGTTTTATACTTTCTTCTACTGAACATCATCCTTGATAACATTTATATCTCGTCCTTTATTCTACAGTCCTTGACTGACCTGAAGAATGATTAAAATGTGTCATCCGTTTTCCTATGCTGGGATTTTCCAGCGCTTCAATTAACTTCACAGGACAGGTTTTGATTTGGGAGCCAGGCACCCAACAGGTTTTAAATTTACCCCCCTTGCGTGCCTTTCTCATACCTCTACATTTTGTATCAGCTTGGCAGTAAAGGATGGTAATTATATTGAGTAAAATCATTGATTTCCTATTTAATTAAAAAGTGCCCTTTGTAGAAATGTCCTACACAAACACTTAAAAGTGTGTAAAGTCCCCAATTAAGTTCAAGGAATAAAAATAATGTATCAAAGAACCAAAACCTAAAGGATTACTGGCTGTTAAACCCACACACACCTTAACCTGTACAGGTTAAGATGAAGATAACTAATGCAGAGATGGTTTCAATAATTAAAGATGGCCAACCTCTTGAAGCACGTAATCCCTTTGACACAACTAAAGTGTGATCTAAATAGAATTTATGGTTTTACAATTTCAAAAATTTATATAAATAAACCAAGTTTTTATATATAGAAAAAAAAAGACAACTTTATTCACAATTCAGACTTTATTTTGGAAAATAACTCCAATACAAAGGTCAATTCTACGGATGAGATGCATTCAAATGTTGCATAGGCACGTTTTGTTGATTCTCAGAAAGCTGGATTTGAATTCCAATTGTTGTATTCCTGTAAGAGAAATAAAATTCAAATTGGAACATAGTGACGGTTAAAACAGGAGATTATAAAGCAACAGTAGCCTCAGATAAAAACTTTGAATCAGGAGCTGGATGCTCTCATACGAGGTGTCAGAAAAATTTATACTGTCATCACCGGCTGCATCGTTTACGCGCAAATACACAGCTTAGGAGTTTACCTTCAGCAAGGTCCCTCAATGAGCTGTGATCTTCTATCGACTTCCAAACTATAAATGGGGAGAAAAATGCTTTGGTTAGAATAGAAACAATACATATTAAATATTAAAAGGCAGTAAAGTAGCCTCAGAATAAAGTCAGAATCAGGAGCTGAAGATCAGCTCTCATAGTAGGTGTCAGAAAAGTTTGTTTAGCTTGTCATCACAGGCTGAAATAGAAAACCACAATAAAAAAAAAAAAATCATGACTCACCAGCTGCTCCACAGAGATTATAATCCCTGGATTATTCCATCATCGTTGGATTGAATTCATCCAGTAGAGACATTTTTATGCAGACACCATCAGCAATATTCTTTTTGTCATATTTCAGTCTGTGAAAAAGAAACAAAGAAACAATGAGAAACCTGATTATTTAAAGTTAGATAACTGAAAATAAACCTGAAATAAACTAAAACTAAACAGAACAGCTATAATATTGCTTCATTGCAGGCAGCTGGTATTACATGCTCAGTCTTAATGTGTTAACTTAAACAGTATATGAAGAATTGCATCATAGCTTTTTACAAAAAGACTATTTTTTCCCCCCAGTTACAACAGTTTTACCTAAACCATGATGGGTGTAGCTCTTCAGTCCACGTGTTAAACCGTTAAACAAAAG